TACACCATTATAAGGGGTTGTTTGGTAATGAGGGTTTTAAATTATACCGAGATTATAATTCCTTAATTAAACAATCGGATTCCCCTTGTTCGTACCAGTTCTGAGTTGGTTGTTCGACGCTTAGGGAAGCCCCCCCCCCCGAAACCCGTTACCAATTCATCTCCCAATCGGCACACGATGAGATCCGCTCTCGTTCGGAGAAAAGCTCGAGCAGTCCACTGACAATCGACGGGTTCGAGACTGGGACCCCGTGCCCATCCCTCGGAGCGAATCCTTTTCCTGAAGTTACGGATCCATTTTGCCTACTTCCCTTGCATGCATTGTTCGATCGACCAGAGGTTGTTCAGCTTGGAGACCTGATGCGGTTATGAATACGAACGGACAGAAAAGTATTGAAAAACACCGCTGAACTTTTGGGATAAATTATTAGTTTTGTTCTTGAAGTATTGACATACTTGAAAACACTTTTATTTGACTAACTAAACTTACTAAATATAGCAAGTGATCTCAAACTCTTGTAGGTGCATAAGGTTGTTATTTAAAAAAAATCGAAAGAACGATTGAGAACACCCTTAAACTTGAGAATTTAACAGTGTATTTAAGTTCAAATCGTCAAGTAAAGTGATGTTTACGATTAGATAATAACAAAAAATCTCATATTAGGTAACAATCAATTTGGTGTCTCGTATCGTTACGGCTTTACCTTATATCAGGATTGTATGTTTTCAAATTATTGAGATGTGAGATTATAAAACAACGAAAAATGAAAAAATTTATCTAAATGTTATATATTCATTAAAATAATATCCTAATATAATATGATGCATTTTATGAAAGAATACTTAACAATCATCTAAACAAAATATAAGTTGGATGAAATTTATACGATATATAATTGACGATATAAATTTATTTCGAGATAATTTTTTTAATCTCGTACCAAACAAAGCCTAACCATAAGAAGAAAAGCAGCTACATTAACCCCCATGTCGTGGAAATTTGGTATCCAACAACCCCCAATTAGATAAAAATTTACAAATAGCCACTTTTCAATTTATGTAATTAAAATATATTTCTTTAGTTTAATTATATAAATATTTTAATTCGCAAGAAATATAAATCTTTTATTTAAGATAATTATAAAAAATTTATGTAATCATTAATCATCTCAGTAAAATTAACATAGAAAAATCAAAGTTCAACATTTTTTAGTGACAATTTATTTTCATTTTATTGATACGTTATTGTTATTATAATTTATTTTTCATTTGTCGGTATGATCATGTGTGAAGTAAATTTATACTCCAAAGAATTCTCTAAAATTAAACGATATAATATGAATTATGATATGTTGTTTTAACTCATATAATAATATGTTTTTATCGAAAAAAATCGTGTGTATGCTGATGGAACTTATAAACAATTTTTCTTTTATAATTATATGATATAAAAGGCTTTTTGTGTGGGGGGGGAGGGGGTGAAGTGCTAGAAAATCATATTATATAAATCGAGATAGAAATATAATTATTATCATATCAAATTTTGGGCTAAATGACTTATTTTTTGGTTAAATGACTTATTTTTTTTCTATGTAATAAATAATTAAAAAAATTATTTTTTCTACTAATTATTTTGGGCCCTACTCAACAACCCAAGTTGCTCCAACCTCCGTATCGACTCTTTTATTTTATTATATTTATAGAAAGTGACATAAAAATGTATAAATAATTAATTATAACTTTGGCCATGTAAATATTTAGAAATTGTTCGAATTTTCTATAGGCTAAATTTATTTGAATTTAAAATTTTCAAGTAAAGAAGAGGTCTAATATAACATTTAACTTTAGTTTATAATATAATGTTATTGTTATATTAGAGTTTGAAGTTTCAGTAAAATCAAAGCAATAAAATTTTCTTCTATCTGGAGTATGATTAAAATAGAAGTTCGATAAAAAAGTTGATCAATTTCATATAAAAAATAAATAAATATATATATATATATATATATATATATATATATATATATATATATATATATTTATTTATTTATTTAAATTATATTAAAAAATTATGAAAATTATAGAAAATAAGTAAAAGAATTATGGTTTTTTCATGAGAAAGACTTCCTTTTATAACAAAATATACTTTTTGTTGGATATTTTTTTAATATTTTAAATAATAAAAAACTTTTAACAAAATATTTTAATATATGGAACACAATTATCATAAAAGCAATAATGCTATCACCTTCCCACTAGGCAAGGCCACAACATTTATTGAAGAGCAAAATAGATCTAGATCATATTCATATTTTTGTGGTATGTGTGAATACAAAATTTGATATAATAATATCGATCGACTTTTTTGATACATGAGATAAAAATAATAATTTTAAAATAAATTTTATAAATTTTTTATTTACTTCCTATAGATTTAGACTTAGTAGTGTTTGTGGTAATATTAATTTTATTTCTGATTACATTTAAATATTTTATATCTTTGTGGAATATAAGATTACATTTAAATATTTTAATTTTCGTTATATCTTTTTGTTTCTGTTAATTTATTTAGTTGTCTTATCTTTAAAAAGAAATAGGAAAAAATTATTTATTATAAATCCATATTTGTCATGTGTTGTTTTCAAAGAAAAAATATATCAATATCACTTACCTATAATGTCTTTTCACCTTCAACAAGAAAATATTTTTTTAAGAAAAAAAAGAGTGGGAGAAGAAAAATTGAATAATTTAATCAAAGATTAAACATTAAAAAAATGTTTTAATTTTTAACCAAATTAATTTGTTGTTCTTGGTCGACAAAATACAAGATTTACTTTTACGAGTAATGTCTTTTTAATATATTTACTTTTTTTACAAGTAAAAATAATAAAAATTACTTTAAAAATTATGTGAAACGATCCAAACTTATCATGGACTTTGAATAATAAAGTTAATAATGTATCAGTTTTTGCAAGTACTAAAAGTCACCGACGCTCTATCCATCAAATTCAAATTAACTACCCCTAAATAAGCTAAAATAGGATACAAACAACGATCAATTACATCGCTAACAACAAGTTAGGTTATCAATAGCTATTTATCACCCTGTTACGATTCAATTGATACAATATTAATATTATCGATAGTAATATCAGATTAGTTATATATCAAACTCCTACAATTAAAATAAATTTAAATACACAGTACAATTCCAAAATCATTCATTCCTTTGTAACAACAAATTATTATAATACTGGTAAAGATAAATTAAAAATATAACTAGAAAAGTATTAAATATTAGAATGAGGATCCACAATTATAGTAAATAATATAATATTTATTCCCCAAAGTTCTTTTTTAAAATCTTTTATTCTCTATTTACTAATTTTCCAAAATATATCTTTTTTTTTGTCGGTGATAGTTGTGACGTGGTTCTCTTTAAAAAAAGAGAAGCAATTTATTGTGTTTGGTTGGAAGAAAAAATGTTTTTCGCGGAAAATAATTTTTTGGTGAATAATTTTTTTTAAAAAACAAGTGAGTCTTTTATTTATTTTTAATATTTGAAAAGTAAGCAAGATAATATTATCTCGAGAATATTTATATATTATTTAGAGGTGTGTAGGGATGGGAGTGGGGTCGAGGGTTCGGGGTTTTGCAAGGGGTAGGATGGTCAAGGGCTGACGGTTCAGTGATCTGAATTGACAGAGAGAAGACAATAAACTTGGAAACATCACTTATTCAACTTTTCACTACTTCAATTACAGAAGTCATATTCGTCAATTTTAAGAGAAAAAAAATTTAAATATTTTATTTAATCAAATATAAAAAAGCTAAAAAAAATATATGTATATAATATAGAGATATATTATAAGAGTAAGAATAGTTTGAAAAAATATAGTATTTTGTGATTACTAATGATGATTAATTTTATATTTACCAAAGAAATTTTATATTTACTAAATTTTATGACAACTCATCTTTATATAATTTGATAACGTAAAAGATCTTTAAATTATATCAATACATAAAACTTAAATAATTTTCTACCACAAAACTTTTATAATTAATAACTATTAATATAAACTTGCAAATGCCTTATACTCAAGTGTTGCTTTTCTAAAAGGTTGAAAAGGAATAACAATGTCACAATCATTTACCAACTATTTTTATTTTTGTAAATAATAAATAAAATATTTTAGTAAAACATTGAGCAATCTACTTTGTATACCTACTAAGATGTTTTTTTTTCTCTTAATCTGATCGATATTAAGAGTTAATATCTTTACGTGTTTTTTGTTAAAATAATTTATTGTAATTTAGAATTATTTAATTTCTCTATAATTTTTAATGAGAGATTTTAATTTCATATTCTGAAACGAATAAAATTATTTTTTTTATAAAATATGATTTTTTTTAAAAAAAAATTCTATATGAATCTGAACTAATTAAACCTGATGTAAAGTGTAATTGTTGTCTAACTTTTCATAATCCTATATCTAATTAACTATGTGTAATGTTTTTGAACTTTTAACTCGTCAAAATCTTACCAACCAATTCATAGACTAAAAATATTACCAACTAATTCATACATGTAACAAAAAAACTTCAAAAAATGTATTTTTTTAATTTACTAATAAATCGTTTAAAATTTGATGATTTGAACTTCGACATGTTTCTTCTGTTAAAATTGATATTTCTTAATTTTTTATAACCTTCATCATTATTTATACATATCGAGACGAATTTAAAATTTTAAATTTATAAATTTAAAATTATGAACTTTTTTAGATCGTAGGTTCTTAACTAATTATTGATTATTTTACACCACATGCCAATTTAGGACCACTACATTTCATTTCTCATGAATACATATATATTAAATAACTTTCTTAATATAAATGCAAAACTTGGATTAAAGTTATTAAATAATAATAATAACAATAATAATAATTAATGAGCTCATTTGTTCTTTAGTAAAAAAGAAAAAAAGAGATTAAAATATACATTTGGAATATTTTTTTTTCCCACACACAACAAACTATATAAGCAATTGTAATCATAAAAGTACAATTACTTTTGGTTAAAAAAAACCAAAAGTATTAAGTAGAATTTTACAATATTAATTAAGAGGAAGTAGCCATAGATGTGTGATTAGGGGAGTGATTAGCCATATTGGGAAAAGAGAAATTAGAAGAGAATTGAGTGGGTAAATCATGATTAGGTGATTTGAGATTAACATAATCCCAATTAGTCTTTGTTGAATTAAGGATTAATGAAGTATTAACTTCACCACCATCAATTCCAATATGTGTTACATGCTTCACATCTGTTGGTAAACCTATTTCCATCCCCATTTCTTCCTCTTCTTCTTCCATTTGGTCCTTATCCACTATTTAAAAAAAAAAAAAAGAGTTACGCAATTGACTGATCGATCAAAAATATTTATCCATCATGATCCATAATAAATAATTTAATCTAGTACATACAGTGAGATACGAACCCTTATCGCTAGGGTTGAAAGTGTAGACAACTTTATAACTGAGCTGAAAGATGTCACGTGTCTCCCACATGGTTATTGAATGTTATAATGTTTTTGTTTAATTAAAATAACGAAACGCTAACTACTATAACAATAAAATCACAATACTGTTTTCTATCATGTTAAGGTATAGTTGAACTTTACGGACTATAACAATAAAAAGTTACAAAACTTTCACCTACTATATATTAATACGATTTTGATTTTATACGAATTTTTTTTAAAAAAAATTGAAGCTTATTTATTTGATTTTGACATTATTGTTATAATGCATAATTTTTACTATATTATACTTTTTATATAAAAAAAAGATTTTGCTAGGAGAACTCACCAAATAAGTGAGACAAGTTTTTGAAATTCTTAAAAAGCCTTTGAAATTTGGGAAGCCCTAATTGGTTCTTCAAATTTTCACCCTCCAAATTTTCTTCCTTCTCTTCTTCTAGCATTTCTGCATTATGGCAAAAAAATAAAAATCATAATTATCACAAATTTCTTATATCAATTTACTTAGCTGATATGTTGAAGATATAATTAAGAAAATTAAAACGTAATATTTTTAACATTATAATCTTTTAGATAAAAATAATCACACAATTCAATATGATTTCAGATTAGATAAAAGACCTTTGTTAGATTAACGTCGTTAACATATTATCAAGTGTTTGATTCATAAAAAAAGAATCAGGCTAACCCACGAGGAAACTAGTGTGTTGAAAACATAATTATGAATATAAAATTCGTCAATTCACTCTAAAATTTTTAGATGATCACACAATTCAACATGACGTCAGAGTAGTTAAAAATTTTCCCTATTCGAGTCTCACCTTAACTTAAGCGTAATAAAACGATCTTAACAATTTAACCTTTTAATGAAATGATCATACAATTCAACATGATAATATAACATACAAGTATTTAACTACATTCAAATCTCACCCGTAACACATTATTAAAACAAAAAATTTCTACATGATTAGCTCATAAAAAAAAATCAAAGTATCATGTGAAGAAGTTTGTATACTGATTAAACTTTTAGATGAAATCAAAGAATTGATATAAAAGATCTTCGAATCTTTCTACCATCATTCATTATCAAAAAGAATTTTCACGTATTTGATTCATCAAAAAGAATCAAAACTAACACATAGAAAATCTAGCAAGCGCATTGAAAACACAAGTAAACAAAATAAAAATCAATACTATTATCTCATATAACAACTTAAACTTTTAAACGAGATAAACGCAACGGCATCAAAGAGAAACAAACTTGTAGGAATTAAGTTTGGTTGATGAAGACTTGAACTTTTATGCTGTTGATGACCAATTGCAACACTTGATTCAGAAATACAACCCACAGAAAATGGAAGTAACACAAATCTCTCCATTCTATACCTCATTTTTTGTATAAAAAATAACACCAAAAATTAAAAAAAAAATGTCTAAGCTTTTTTTTTTTTTTTTTTGGTTGAGATATTGATGAATTAATAAGAAGAAGAATATGGTTGGTGAAAGACAATAGTTTGTTATATAATGCAAAATAGGGTAGGTACCTTTGTTGTTAAGTCAGAATAATTGTACAGTATTTAACAAATATTTAGATGATGCAAAAAGAACTTAATTAGCATGTCTAAATCATAAAACATATTACATTAATTAAATAAGAAATTCCAACTTTACATTATACATGTCTTTATCTTTGTTTCCCTTTTCTTTGTATAGGTTAGATTAGAGATTTAACTTTTACAAACTTTTTTTAAAAAAAAAGATATCTCGATACACTAGATATATACGGAATTTGAGGAAGGATTATATGACAAAGCTATATTATATGCGATTTTAGATTGCATCTTCGATCATAAGGGTTTGTTATACACAATTTTAGATTATATTTCTGCAAGAGACTAACAAACTTATATCATACCTATGAATTACTTGTCACATGCCAATAACTTACTGGTTACATAAATCTTTATAAGCTGAACCATCATAGAATCACGAATTTTTAATAGGGATTTTCGATAGAATCCATCGGAATTTGGCTCGTCAGCAACGTTTTCAACTGACTTTTTTTTTTTGTATAAAACTCCTTACCAACAAGTCAAATTTTCACGAAACGTCTATAAAAAAAAAATAATTTCTTGATAGTGTTATAATAACTTGAAAAATAAGGTCGATAAGTTATGACTAGTCGTTTCATTGCACCAATAATGTCTCACGTATTATATACTGTCAGCGTACACGAGTTAAATTTTATTTGCATGTTAGGGGGGTAATGCATATGGTGGGGTCTTATCTTTTTACTTGCCACTCTTAGAGGAGAAGTCACCATTTATTTTTGTTGGAAATATCATACCAAACAGTAGTGATGATCAGTCCAATTGACACTTATAATATATAAGTTCTCTTTTCATTTTCTTTCATTTCATTTCTAGTGGAATATATTTTTTTAATTTATTTTTTTTTTCTCAATCATATACTTAAATTGGACTCCACCTTTTATGAAGTGTATTACAAGCATTTTAGTGTAACTAAAAATTAGTGTCCAAATCATGGCTTGCATTGAATTATTCATGTATGGATTGATAAATTTTTTCATATCCACTCATAATGTAATGATTATATATAATCAATCAATTTTATCTATTATATTGTAAAATGTAACTTGTAATATTTACTACTATTTCTTCATTTTATAACAATAGTGTATAAGCTAGTTTATACGCGTATCAATTATTCTATCGAATAATGATTAATTATCTCCGACTAACATAAATATCAAACTAAGCTAGAAGCCTAAAACTCTTTAGTTAAGAGTTAAAAGACATACAAATCAGCTTATATCCATAGTCATGCCTGATAAAACTAAGTACAATCACAAATATTATCGTGAAATAGAAAAAGTCTTCAAATCTTAATCTGATGTTTTGAATCGAGACTTTTGAATTTGAATGAAAAAAATCTAATAGAGAGCGCTTTCTCTTTAAATTGACCTTACACTACGAGAATTCAGATTGATCGAGGGTTCAATACGAATATCAGACATCAACTTGCTTTTTAAAATGAAGAAACAAAACATTCCTAAAGGTCATGGTCCTTATAAATCTTTTTTAATTGTTTGTTTTAATTTGATTTGGACATTTACCCAAGTTTAGGCATAGAGGTAGATAAGTGCATCTACATTTGTGGGGACTGAAAAATAACAAACCTAACAAAATGGCTACATTATCCATTTTAATTGCATATATATAGGTAGAATTAAATACTATACTAAAGTTAAACTTTATTAGTTTATGACTAATATTATAGATTAAGTAAATGAGGACTTAATTTATTTATTGACAATGAAAGTAATTTAAGCTAGTATTGCTATCTTTTGAGTATGCACAGTGTAAACCTTGCTCTTGTATGATAACTCGCAAGTTACTCCGCTAAATAAGTTGTGTGAGATGAGCTCGATTCAAAAGAACAAATTCGTTATCGTCGTAAGCAAGGAATTTTGAACATGATGATTAATATAAATAAAAAGGTATGAAGGAAATAAAACAATTTTTTTTTGTGTTGTTGAAACTTAACTAAAATGTTCTCTTTTTTTTTCTTTTTTAATAATGAAACAAAGATAGAAGACCTAATTACTTGTCAGTCAATATATTATCTGAAAATAATCATTAGTATTAAGAAAATACCAATTAATTAGGTATCTTTTTGGAGGAAGGTGACCATCATTGAAACAACAATGGCAAAATAGACTTAAAAAAATAAGCATATTAATTAGTGGAGATAATATTTATTCAATTAACAGAAAATGGTAAATTAGCTAATATTTCGCATTCTATCTTATATAAATAATAAGATAAATTCTCGTGAATGTTATGCAGATATTAATAAAAATAAGACAAATTCTCGTGAATGTTATGCCGATATAAATATGCAAAGTTAACACCACTAGCAAACATTGACACGGTGACGAACACCCACAAGGGTTGTAGTGAAACAAACAGAATCCCTCCATCGTTTACTAGAGATCTCAAGTTTAGAAAACGAAAAATCTTGTTAGGAAGCTTCCACTTTCCCCTTAAATAGGTGTTACGTGGCACGAATCCAGATTAATCAGAGCCTCAATAAGAATGGAAAATACCATGCAATTTTCCATTCTTTTTTACAACAGTGTAAACACAAGACAACTGCAAATTTTTCTGATTCATGTAAAACATATTCAATATGCTTGCATTTACACACAAAAAAAATCAAGGTTAAACTCCTGTAGTACAAATAATTTGTTTCCCTCTTAAGCCTACTTATGGAAAAACCGAGAAAAGACTGGAGCAACGCGATTCCTGAAGAATTAGATTGTATGAAAGTCAAAATCATAGAGGTGGATAGAAATACGATGACAAGGAAAACCCGAGGAAAAGTAGGCCTCCGATTGTAGCTACTGTTCGCTGTGAGATCTTGGATGCAAGCATGCTTCCACCTATCACTGCCACTGAAGTACATATAGTGTGTCCTATTGTTGCCCCAACAGCAACTCCAATTGCGTTTTTGTGTGTAGCTAGCTGTAGAACGAAGATCATAATCAGTTAAAGACATCCTTGAACGTTAATGACACACACGTGAAGCTAGTAATGCTACACATTCTACTTATCAGTTAATCTCGTTGGATAATGAACCCTCCCCTCTACCCGTCTCCAATGGTTGATCTTCTTTACTTTCATTTAAAAATACCGGGATTTTCATATGTGTCCTAACATTATGCACTAGTTCATTAATGACTTGTCATACGAACATCATTAAGGTTTTAGGGAAGACAAGGGTCACTTCGCAAGTCAGTCAGAACTCAGAGGTTAAACTGCAACTCTGATAAACAAGACATTAACGAGCAAATGATGATAAAAGTAGTGCCCAGCTTATTACGAGCCACAGTCAAAAGGGAATAAGAAAATCTTACAGCAATTGTTGCTATCTGGCTACGGTCTCCCCACTCTGCCAGGAAGGTCAAGATAAAGGCCTGCACAGATATCAACAACAGCAAATGTTAGTTATCTTTACAAATTTTACAGATTGTAGGATTGTAATGAAGTACTAAACTGATATTGCCGTACCAACTGAGTGAAATTTAAAAGTAAGGGAACATTCTTCTGCATGAATTGCACAGACATACCTCCAAAAATATGGGTGTAAGGAATCTAGAAAAGAATCGCCTGAAAGCTGCTTTCCCTTGTCCAGCTTCTAGCTTCTCTTCCACCTGAGATATTTCATATTCACCGAATAGTCAAATTTACAGTCATCTCTAGACAAAGAGAAAATCAAAAGTAGTACTCCCGAGTTTTATGCAAGAACATATAGCAATATAAAACACCTAAACAACAGAAAGGGGGAACATACTTCCTCTATTTCCTTTTTCTGGGAAGCCTTTGAATCTGATGATCTCCATGCAATATAGAGAAGTCGAAGCCCGAAAAAGAGATAAAGAACTGCACAAAAATAGGACTTTGTAACTATCCAAGCGAACGAAATAAGAATGGTAAGGATAGAATCAGCCTTGTCCCACAAAAATATGGGGAAATATAAAGCAAAGGAATACAAAGGGGAAAGTAGGCATATCAAGAAGGCAAAACCGAAAAAAATTGTAGTAGTATTGCAAACCCAACGAAAAATCATAATTTACTTCACGTTGCATAGAAAGAACAAGTAGCTATTCACTAGTTCAACTTTACACAAAGGATAGAAAATCTGGTGAGAAACTGGAATAAGAACACTGGAAAATTCTGTCAGGTTCCAAGGCAACATCTTATAGACAGTTGAAAATCTAAAATCAACAGAAGGCATCACATTGTTAGTAAATAAGACAATTACAGAACAGCAATTTGTAAAACACAAACCTGTAGCGGCACTATTTGTATGCTTCCTTGATATCAGATTTGGCACTATCCTCCCAAGCCCGGTAGAAAGTATCTAGTTATAAGAAGAGGAGACCTAGAGTTAGCACTAACAGTTTTGCACATACTAAGAGAGAACTGTAAATGAAAAAAAAATAACTGAACATAATGAAGGGAGAGAAATGTTGCATGCGTGAACTAGCAAAGTAGGGAAGGAAATTCAATTACTTACAGTCATAACAAACAAGGCACTGAGCGCACCAGATAAAACGATTGATTTGGGGTGACGCATTGCCATCAGAGCTGCTATTATAAATGTCTCATCACCAATCTAGCAGCATAGCCATCCAGAAAACACATATTAAATGGAGAGTAAGGCAACATTTTGAGGAGGGCGCTGCAAATATGAATAATTCATCGCCAAACTGCAGTTTGGTTCGACAAACAGAGGTGTTCCTGTAAAAGTCTCCAACCAGCTTTTTTGTAAATTATAAATTTTCCAACAGAAACTCATAGTCATCAGTAATAATATTGTAAAAGCAGACCACAAACTAGTATACAAGCTCTGTCATGGAGAAAAGTAGAACTAACCAGAAATTAACTGCAAAAAATATACA